CATTCTTACTACGCTGTTTGCATGGCATTGTCCGACTTGCTAGCCAAATGAGAAATAGTGAGCCTTCTTTCTGATTCGTGTCATATCTCTTGTAGCATACAAATAACACTCTAATTAGGTCTTGTTAATTTGAAATCAGTTGATTCCCTGAAATAACTTCCACAGTTGCAATAGTTTCTGTAGAAAACAAATCTGCTTCCTGTATGTTCTGCCTGCAGAAAAGATCAGAAATAGAGGGGGAAAATGGAAGTTGAGAACATTCATTTTGTAACTCTTTTCTTACTAAATTTGTTAAATCACTAGTGTTTAAGTCTGTTTGGGTCAGCTGTGTGTTCTGCTAATATTGACAGTCTGTTTTTTAAAGAAGGGATTCGGAGACTGGCCATTTGTCTAGTCCATAATATTTAAAAGGAAAAAAAAAAACCCCAAACCCCAAACATCCAGTGCTGTAGGCATTTATCCATCAGTTTTGCTGGGGGAACATCGCTTAATTGTGTGTGAAACAAGCCTTTACTGCTGTGAATCACACTAAATTGAATCAGATCAAATGAATGATCAGTATTAGAATTCAGATGGCAGAAACCAGAAGTGTTAGAAATGTGTGCATCTTCATGTGTGGGTGTCAAAAAGATGGCTTTTGACTTGAGGTAGAGGTAAGGGTCACCATATTGCCAGAATTGCCATTAAAATTGACATTGTCTAGTGAGGTAGACCTGAGCATCACATAAATTGTCTGCAAGGCAAAGTAAACAAATTATATCTTCTTGAGAAAGAACAAAAACTGGTTTAAAAGATTCAGACCATTTACATAAATAGCAGGTTAATTTGTGTAGTCATAGCCATTTTCCCTTTTCACTTGGCAGGCGTGGGAGAGATGCTGTAGCATGTATGCTGGCATTTTGGCAGTGAGCATGTTCCCTGGAAAATGGAACTGCCCATTCAACATAGGAACGTAAGCTTTACTGAGTATATTGCTGATTGAGCCAGACGACTATTCATAAACAGATTAACTTTTGTGTTCCTCAAGCAAAGAACTGTTGTCACTGTTTGTTTCTTGTGAGCCATTTCTGAGTTGCCTTGAGCCAGCAGCATGTCTTCTGGTTTCATTCGTATGTTCAGTCAAAGAATGATATTCAAACTGGTTTTCGAACTGAAAAAAACCCCACATCTTTTTCATGTATACAGCTTCTTGCCCACAAGTTCATTGAAATGCCTAGATATTAGATTTCAAATAAGGGCAGGGTAATTTAGTATACTGGGTTTCTATTTGCTTGTTTTGTTTGAAGATGTCTGTTGTACATGTCATCTTTTCTCAGATGTGTTTTCTTGTTAATTCTCATTTCTCTTGGTGCTGAGCTGTCCACTATGGTGTGTAAGGAGATTAAATGATGTCCTTAACATCAGCTTTTAAAAGCAGCCGTAGTATTTTACACTAAAACTAGCTGACTCAAAACCAAGCTGAAGATGCTAAGCAAATGCAACTGCATCACAGTTTGAGAGGCGTGACCAAACATTCAGTGCTCCCACTATATAGTTGCTACTGGAAAACTGTTCTTAACCCTATGACTGGTAGATGAGAGGAAATGTAGTAGAGGATTTAAGCTGTCTCCCTGTACAGAGTGCCTTAAAGAAAAAAAAAAAAAACAAAAACCAAAAAACCAAAACTCCCAAAACCCCCCAGTACAACCTGAATTTACAGTTTGATAGGATTCAGGATGGGGAGTGAAGGAATAAAGGATCATCTTCCTTCCTGGAAAACCTTAGTTTAGCAGTATATTTTTCTTTCTTTGATTAGCTACTGTAATACACCCCTCAGGTAAGGTAAGAGTGTTTTTTAAAGACTTACTTCTTACAACCCCCCAGAAAGTATTAAGTGTCATGCTTAATTCCACCTTGCCCCTGTAATTAAAACAGCTGAATATACGTTATCTTTTCCAGATTCAGACCAAGAGTGAAAAATGTCAGCCTAAGCAGTTTCTTTTTTTTTTAATAATAGCTACAGCTGAATAAATACAGACTTTAAATGCAAGTTCTACTCTAATGATGGCCATTTAATAGAAAAAATCTTAGCAACATCTATTTACTCATTAATTTGGTGCCACACACTGCTTCTTAGTTTATGAAATTCCTGTAGTTAGCTAGTCCCATTCCAGTTACTGTCTTATTAATGTGAATGTAGAGATGTGGAGAAAGTTCCTGTGCTCAAACAAGTAATTGATTTCAGTTGAGCTGTTTTGAGCAGCCATACAGTAACACCCTAATGAACAGAAAGCAGATGGTTCTGTTTTCCCCACACAGATCACAGTAATTCATAATGAGCTGTGAAAATACTATTATTGATTTCTCTTTGGCTTGTTTTTTTTGTTAGTTTACAAGTCAAGCTATAATTGAGGAGAGTTGCTTTTTTTGGTGGTGGGGTTTGTTTTTGTTTTGGTTTTTTTTTGGTTTTTGAAACAAGGAGGGTAAGGTAGTATGTGCTTTCCTGTTAGTTTCTTGACTGTTGAGGCCTGACATGAAACACTATCAGGAGAATAAAACTGAAAGGTAACATCTAATGCTAATAAAGCAGTTAACAGTGTAATTTTGCATTCTAGAGGTTATGACCAAGGCCTGATACTTGCCTGACACTAGTGAGTGCTTCCTCTGAAGCTGTCAGGATTTTTCTTAGCTTTTTTATCTTTATCTAGAGTGGTTATTTTCCACTTGGTTGCAAGGTGGTGGTGGCCAACAGGTATCCTTCCATTAAAGGACTCAAAGTTGTTCTCGGGAGACAGCTGGGTGTCAATTGTTGCTTCCTCTTAAAACGTGTGTGACATAGGCTTTGTGGGGTGAGCCAGCAGACTTTTCATCTTCAGTGGAGGAAAAAGATATCAATCCTTAATGTCCTCTGTAAAAAGGGTGTCAGACTGGCTGTATACCATTGCCTAGAGCCTGGATTTAATCACATACTGTCCGGATAGCTTCTGTTTCTGTGTGGCTTTTCGGTTTTTTTTGTTGTTTGTTTGTTTTTTTTTTTATTGAGAAATGCAAACTGTCAGAGAAGAGCCGTGCCCTGTGTCAGGCTATGATCTCCTTTTGTCTGACATGTTCTTTGAAGTAGACTTTTCCTTTTTCTTTAGTCTTAGAACCTGTATACCAAGTCTTTACAAATCAGAGAGTATAACCATATTTAAAGTTGAGGTTAAAAAGGAGTGAAGCAGGAATACATACTGCTTTGAAATGCAGATTTCGTTGCATGTTATTTGCAACAAATTGTATATGTAACTATATATGAAAGGGGCTCCTTGGAGTTCATAGCTGCTTCTGTACATTGTTGGCATTTTGAACTAAAATTTGTTTGGCCACCCCTGAGAACTGCATCTGTAGTAAGATTAAAAACTCAAGATCAAAATGAGGAATAACCATATATAACCTTTGGCAACAGCATATGGAATAACACTCTTTATTCCTCTGCCAGTTTTGCTTTCCTTTCTGAAATGTCTGCTCTGTGTCGGTGTTTGCTATGAAAATTATCCACCTGTACATTATGCATAATAAGGAGGGAGGCAAAAGAAGCTAGTTTAAAGGAAAAAACTTTTATACATTTAGAATACTTAATGGAGCAAAAAGTCAACATAAACTAACTGTTCTCTTAGGGCCCCTGGTGAATGTCCATACAAAGGTTGAAAAATGTGCTTCATGAAGATAACAGCTCTAAGTTCTGATAAGGTGGTCAAGGTGCAGCTATCCTTGAGTGTTTCTCACACCACAGATGCTTTGGCTTTTAGAAAAATCTTTGAGCTTGTTTTCTTGCAAGGTCCCAGTCGCTGCTGCATTCTCCATCCTCTTCTGGCTTGGCACTGTCAGAGACGAAAACAGTGCAAGGGAAGAGAAGTTTTGCTTCTTGTTAGCAAGCAGCGCTTTGTCCTTGGTGTGTATAGGTGTGTATATGTATATGAACAGTAGAAACTGAGGCACCTACCCACCCCCTCCCTGGCAGAGGCAGAGGCCTGTATGTGGGTGGGCTGGGATGGAGAGGAGGTGGTGGAGGAACACGTTACCCCAGCTCCACTTCTGTCAGTGGGTGTATAAGTGCACTCCTGAATGCTTTAATGCAGCTCCCCTTCATCCCTCCAAATAAATATTTATTATTAGTTAGTGCTTCCCATTTTTCTGGTTCCCTTCTCAATTTAACTTGCTGCAGAACATATCCTTTTAGCTCCCTTACTTCCTTCTTTGGCAAAGATGGTATTGTATGCAGAAAATAGCAGTGCTGTCACTGTGGGCTCTACAAGGCCTATCATAAAGTTGACACATTCAGGTTTTGTGCAGCAAAGTTTTGCTTGGGGCTACAGAGTAATGCAGTGTGTTGGAGCACTGCAGTAGATTTCCGTGGGCCTGATCTGGAGTGCAGGATGCCAGATGCAGAGCTCTGTCTGAAGACATTGCTTTGTAGTCCCTCCCAGCTCGACACCCTGAATACCTGCCTTGCCTTAGGTGACCCAGCAAAAACTTAAAGATGTTTTCTGTGAAGGACAGAAGAGTTGGAGAATGTGCTTAATGCTGCCCTGCTGTCTTGGAATAAAAGCCTGCAAGGGGTTCGGACCACATACCACAGCACTTGTTAAAATTTGGTTGTGGATTCTAGGAGTGACAGATAGTTCTTTCAGAACAAAGGTCTGGTCTTTAATAAGTTGGTTTTTTTTTTTTTTTTTTTTTTTTTTTTTTTAATTATTTGCATATGCTAAATGCTAGTTTGTTACAGGCATACTATATTTCTTATTGGATGGACCTCTTGCTGGGCATGGACATATAGTCCTAAGTAAAAACCAGTTACTAGAGAAAACTGTTTTTGCTGGAGGGAGTTAGAGCGGAAACTCTGGAATGATGTGTGGCTTGCTTTGTGTGGACTTAGTGTATCAAACACTTTGTAGTTTTTGTTTGCTATGAAAGCATAGCCCATGCTGTTCCAGATCTTTCTCTTGTTCAAATTACAACCTGACTTTTACGGTTTCTTGCAGGCCAGCCCTCCAGATCTCTATATTGAAAGATTTAACGTAGCTCTTGGACAGTATATGGGAGCATTGCAGAGCATTGTGCCTCTTTTCATATATATGGTAAGTTTTAGAAAATTCTTTTCAAATAAAGTATGTCCATACACAAGATGCTGACTGAAGGTGAAAAGAATAAAATGCAGCTATAATGATATTTAACTTGTAGAACTTAACGATTCATGCCTGGTTTTGCTACCTGCGTAACAGTACTGATCAAGTTGTGTGGGGAGAGGAAGGAGAAGACGTGGTTTTAAATACAGAGTTTTGCAATTGGTTTCTGCCCTAGTATTTCTTTCCTGGAAGTGGGGGGAATGGTTTTTATTTTGATTGTAAAAAACCCTTCCCAAATAATTAGGTCATTATTTATATCTTTTGGAACAGAGATAGTGTATTGGCTTGTTATGTTGGCTTGGTTGTTTGGGCAGGCTACAAAGATGATTGTTTCTTGCTTTTAAATTGCACAGGTTCAGACAAGACAAATGTCTCTTGGAAATGTCTGTGTCACTTGATAAAGCAATTTAGAGTGCTGACTGGATGAAGATGAACTTATGTTCATAGTGCTGTCAGGCATCCTTGCAGAGGTTCAGAAACCATTGGCTATAAGTGTTTGTTGTGCTGATTTTGTAATTTATGAAGTCTTTTGTACCTCCGAAGACGTTTATAATTTGCATTGTTTTTGTAAAAGTGCCACATCTCTTACTGTTTTTTTTTTATGGTAATGAACAACTTAAGCTTGAAATTTGCCCTTCTCCAAGAAACTGTCCTTGCATTGGCATCACTTAGAAATAAAAACTAGAGGAAGTATTTGTTGGGAAAGAAACTTTTTTTTTTTAAAAAAAAAAAGAAAGATGTAAACTGATTTAAATCAAATAAACCTCAAACTCTTTAAAATTATCCTCATTGGTAGCTTCCCAAAGTTTGGGAAGCAGTATCTCTTAGGTATTCTGTTTCTGTGAATGCACCTGAAACTGGGTAACTTGATGTAGTCTTTCAGCGAAGTGTCATGGTACAGATTTGTTGCATTCAAAGAGGGATTTGCCGTTCTTGAACTGGGCATCTTCTTATGTGCTCTTTATCTAGTTAATACAGAATGAAGTCCATTGCTACAGCTTCACTTGTAAGCTAAGGGATGTGTTCCTGGTCATGATTTTTATGTTTCTCCTGGTTCCTGTCATTAAATGCTAGGGAAAAACTAGGAAGAGACTTCTCCCCTCTATTGCATTCAGCTGTATTTAGATGCTAGCCATTTTTTCACCTGTGTGTGCTTGACTTGCTTATTGCAGATGAGTGGTTAAGCAATCTCATAATTTAATATCCATTTATAAATGGAGATAAGCTGTTCAGGTGTGTACTTTTGAGTGCTCAAATCTGTCACTGCGGTTCTGCCATCAGGGGTCAAAATCTACCCTTAAGGGTTAAGACTGCAGTAATTAACGTCTAAAAAATGTTCGTGATGGACATATAAACAGACAGGTTTTATCATTATTGTCTATATGTCCAGACAAGGTATAATTGCTGAATAGATTTCCACATCTTTGTACACAGTTGTGATGGGGTATTTGTATCTTCAAATGAGGAGTGCTCTGTATCCCATCATTTCTTCTTTTTTTCTTTTTTTTTTGAGTTTGAGCCTGATACCTGAACATAGTAAAAATAGTTAATGAGTAATAAACAGACTTGTAAAATGAATAGTTAGTAATTTATTTTTTTTTTTAATCTGAGAACAAAGAAAAGTGAAAGTACTCTATCACTGTAAAGGAGAAGCTTCTTTAAAGCATGACTAGTGATTTGTTCAGGCAGTAAAACTCTATTCACTTTCTCATTTAAGTGACTTAAGTGACTAAGTTAGGCCTGACAGTGACTTATGTGTTAGTTCCTCTTGCTGCTAAATGTAATACTCATTTGGCTCAGCTGGTTTTGAAGGCTAATGTCAAATTAAGTCTCACAATTTTTCTCTGAAATAATTTATTAATCAGTGTTGTGGATGATGTGGAAAATATCTCTAGAGAAGTCAGGTTGAAAAATGTTTTTCTCTCTTAGTTTTTTCTGAATGTAGTTGGGAGCACTCTTATGTACACACACTCCTGCATTTTTATATTATAGCATCTAATCAAGTTTTCTTTCATACAGCAGGAAGAGTTTCCTTTAGAGAATAAAATACAATTAAAAAACAAATGCAAGAGGTAAAGGCTTAGTTATTCTACAGTATAAATTAGAGCTTTGCAGTTACTTTAATAGGTACTTCCAATGTTTTTTTAAGTGAAGAGGACTATGTTGTTGAACTCTGCCTTTTTATCAGAGATGGCAGGGCTTTCCTTTTTTGGTGGTGAAGTGATTGCTTTAATCAGGAGTTTCCAAAGATGTTGAGTTGCACTGATAATCTTTGTTCTGAAAGGGTAATTATATTGCTGCTTAGGAAAACTTTTAATACGCATTTAAATATTTAAAAAGAAAATCTGTGAAGCCAAGGAAAACATAAAGGTTTTTTGTACAACTGGAACAAGTGTTTGTTCTTTAGTGGCCAAAAAAGGCATAGTATTTTGCCTTAGGCTTAGTCCTGTGTGTTTTGGTATCAACAGCAGCACTTTTTCTTTTGCCTGATACGCGCTAAACCATATTCTTGTGTGTGAATGGTGGGAATACAGGAAAGGTGTTTTCTTAACCTGCTTGTATATGGTGACCAAGGTGTGTTTCAAAGCTTGTCTTGAGTGACAGATGAGAGGGTTGACTTTGCAATTGAGGGATTTTTTTTCCTTCTTTTGCTAGGATCGCTACTGGTTTTCTTTTTCACTTGGTGATGGTTTGTTTTTTTTTTTTCTAGTCTTACTCTGTTATAGTGGACTTTTCAAGAAAGCGTGGAGACCCAAAGCACTTTTGTCCCTCCAAAATTCTGTGGGTTTAAGCTCCTTCAGAAGTTCTGGGATGTAACTGCAGATAAAGCAAATTAAATTGGAAGACGGCTTAGCACACAGTGCTTTATTCTGAAGAATAATTCCTTGTGAATAAATGCTTGCTTTGTAAATATAAATGAGGTTATTCTGTATGCTTACAGATTGTACATATCACAGTATGCCGGACACATGTATGAATAAACATTGTATTTCCACTTCAAGAAAAACGAAAATCAACCTTTAGATTATATACTTTTTTATAATAGGTTCTTAGCTGTTAATTATGCTTAGAGACATAGCTGAAAACCTGTTAGCTTGTGGCATGAAATGAGCCCAACATTTCTGAGTACTGTGGTTTTAGGATAGGTAAGAATTTTTTCTTTGCCTCTAAAATATTACTGTTCTTACTGGGTGGTATTGCACTTCATTGCTTATCAGCTAGAGGGCATTTTGTGTGTGTCTGTATACACAAATATATATGAGTTTATGTGGATGAGATAAGCACTCTTATACGGTTTTTTCTCTTTCAAATATTTATTTATCTCCTCTTAATAATATTAACACAGTTATGTCATTTAACATTTGCCAGATTGCTTTATGATACGGTGTTTTGTAGAAGAAATGCTTATATTGTATCTGACTTTCTCAGTTATTGATATATGCTTACCTTAGACCTTTAAGTGACTTGACACACTTTTCAAGAAATACTGGTAAAGCCTAGGTAGGGACATCTTATACAGAAAATCTTCTGCGTTTTCCACTAACAAGAATGGGGAAGGTAACAGATCTTCTGCTATCTCCTTTCAGCGCTGTGGATTGGAAATTAACTATTTAAGTGATATTTTTTTTTTTCATTGTCTATTTAAATCTATGCAAGTGTAACATCTTTTTGGGAAGGTGTTTCCAAGTGAGCAGATGTGTAGAGTGTTTTACAGTTGTTCTGTGTATAAGTACTGTGTTGTAACTCTTCTTGGAGCTGCTGAGGGTTTGTTGTTGCTTTTTCTAGTTACGAAACTTAAGGTATAGGCTTCCAACTCTTAAACAAAAGAAATCGTCACAGTTTGCACGTGTTGCCAACTGCTTATAATGCAAGAAGCTCTGGAGGCTGGGAAAGGAATAGAGTAAGTAATTTCCTTAGCTGGGTGCATCTCGTCTGCCAACTCATAAGAATCAGTAGTTTGATGTTGTCAGGTTTGATTTGGGTCAGTAGAGTTGTGCTGAGATGCTCTGGTTGCTCCTGTGTGTTGCACCAGTGGGTACACTGTAGTATGTGGTCAGGAAGCTCAAGGTGGAAATGGTTTAGGAAGTTAGGTCTGGTGCAAGGCTGTAGTATGGTGTGTAGTGTAACCCTTCCTGGAAGATGTGTATCTTCAGTTGCTGTGAATTTCTGTTTCACTGGCAATTCACCATTGACCAGAACCACTACAAATGAAGTTAGTCTGTTTCTTACAAGACAGGCTATTCTGTCTGCAGAGCCTTTCCCTCAATCTTTGTTCAAAAAACAGGCCCAGGTGAGGGGGAAGCAACTGAGTAACAGCCCTTGATAAAACCTCTACAGGTAGGATAGCTTCAGGGAAGGAACCAGCAGTAAGAAGTTACTAAATTTTTTTTAAAAAATCTTTTTAAGATTGTTGTCCATCACTGCAACAAACCTAAACTTCAACAGGGGCATGTGTTCAGCCATTGGATTGCCTTTGTTCTAACACATTCAGTTTTCATCAAAGGCAAGTAACTGCTGCTGAATGCTTGCCTTGAAAATGTAAGTGGTTTCTGCATTGACAATTTATTACAGTATGTGTATATTTTTGGTAATGGCCAAGAGAATGGGTTTCACTAAAAAAAAAAAGTAAAGATTGCTCTAATAGTGTTCTGAGGTTGTTCCAATTATGTTAAATGCTTTAGTGAACAGGAGAACAACTCGTAAAGTGTGGAAAAACTTTTCTCCCTTAAAAAAATCCCTTCCTCTAGTAACTCTCTTAGAAAAGTGTTCCAGTACATTACTTTTGATTGATTTTCTATTACAGTGACTATTAACTTTTACACAAGTTGCCTGGATTAATTCAGTTCTTCTACTTCCATGTTAGTGTTGTAACGATAGGAGATTTATCCTGAATCATTTTTTTTCCAGCATTTAAAATCCATCTGTGAATAAAATACAGACAAGAAATCTTACTATTAATTGCAGGCTGGGAACTGAGGAATAATACCAAATACTGCATTAGGTATGGAGGCCTTCAAGGAACTAATGAATAGATTTTCCTTTGAGGGTTGAAGAGGTGAATTTCTTACTAATGCCGAGTGGGTCAAGATAATTGAATCTTAAAAATTTTAATGTAGCTCAGTTTTGTGTAGATTCATATATATTACTTATTTCCACAGGTGATTAATTCTGAGCAGCTGTCCTCTGGGATTATTGATGAACCACAGAAGTGGATAGCTGTACTGATGCTTTATTACTGTAACATACCTATTTTCATGGCTTAATCACTTTTAGACATTGGTAAAAATGTTTTCTTTTGTTATAAACATGATATCCAGCCCTATTTTGGTGTTAGAGCATTTATAAAGTTCTAAAATGAAGTGTTTTTTCTACAAACTCCACAGTCTGGAGATGTATCTGTAGGTATAGTGGGGAAAAAAAAGCAACCAAACATGCACCCCTGTATGTAAGTAGGTTTGTTACCAATAGTACCACATGCGTTCTTGATTTTAAATACATGGTTTTTTTATTGTACAGGAATGTTCTGTGTAATATAGATGCAGTCACGAAGGAAGCACTTTACAGGCCAAATATTGTACAGCTTTAAAATTTTGAACTATTTTTATTCAGGGAAAAAGTAAGTTTACTTTATTTGCTATTGTGAAAAACAAACTTGAAAAATTCTGTCTTATTTTTCAGAATAAATTTTACATAGAAACCAAGCTTAACAGAGACCTAAAAGATGACCTTATAAAGCTGTTTACGGAACACGTTGCAGAAAAGCACATTTACAACCTAATGCGTAAGTAAACCTCTTGAATTTTTCTTATAATGGGAACCTGGAAAACCACTGTGCTTTCAGATATTGCAGAAATCCACAGCAAACAGGGAGAAAATGGAAAATGACCAGTGAACTTAAATACAGATGCCTTCCTAAGGCACCCACATGACAAAATGTGGCACACTTCCAACTTATTTTTTTCAAAAATATGACTTTGTACAAAGTCATGGTTTTCTTATCTGGGGGAAACAGTATATTTTTTCCCTTATGACTTGTGATTATGAAATGTTTTATTGTCCCGTTGCTTATGCTGTGTTACTCTTTTAATTTCATTATCAAAATGTTGACAGGTATCATTAAGAATGTGGTGTGGTCAAAGAATTGTGATACTGCTGGGGTTATTGTCATGATGTCCTGAGAGTACTCCATGCGAGTTAGTGAACTGCGTAACACTAACAGCAGTTTCGCTGTTAGGCTAGTGGGTTTATACAAATAGAATATGCTTCAAGTGATGTGCTTCCTATTAAGTTCTCCTGTGGGTAACTCCTGTGGTGAACTCCTGAGTTGGCTGGCAACCTGCTACCATCAGTGTGTGTTTTTGTGAGCATAGGGACCTTGCTGCTGGCCTGGTTAGCTCCTTGAGAGGGCAATTAGTAAAGGTGGAGATAATCAGACTTGGAGTTCAAATTGAAAAAGTTTGCATAGTGGTGAGCCATTGACCAACATGCTCAGAGAATTGGAATTGTACGTGCTTTGTGCCACTGGATAGTTCCTGTGCCCCATGTTGAGTTTAGTATCTAGCCTGGTGTATTCCTTTCTGTGACCTGGCCCTACTGCAGTGTCTCTGTTTTCTTCTAGCTGCTCCTCTCCTCTTTCCTCTGAAGCAATTACTGTCTGTATGCTAGATGGAAACCAAATGATGGGTGATTATATAGAGAGTTGAGCATATTCCTTTTGCCTTTACTTGGATAGTAATGCCCTTCTCCAGCGAAGGGCTGGGGAAAAGGAGCTTTGTTATGTCTTTTTTAAGGTCACTGAGTTGGCATCCTGGGAGAAGGGTGGGTGAACAAGGTGACTACCCTGAGGCCAGGGAGCCTGGTACCCTAAATGATGGGAGATCATCATCAGCTCTCATGCCATCTTGTTCTTGCTGTTTGGAAAAGACTTCCAAAGAAGAGTTTTTATCCTCATAGATCACCTTAGAAATAGCAGGACAATGAGGAATGCCCATCCTTGGGCTTGGTGTTTTATTTTGTGCCAAAGAGGTTTAACAGTATCATGAAAACTGGCAAGATGATTGCTGCAACAGGATGATGGAAAATACAGCTGATATGGCCTTAAAATTACATACATGTATGCATTTTTTAGGCAATGAAAATGTTAATGTGATGGTTTTTTTTTTAATGACAAAGTGAAGGTAACACCCATCAAATCTGTAGAACATAAGTAATGTCAGATGTGTGTTGCTGTGTAATTTGTTTTCTGTGGCTGGTAATGTGAGAATCAAATAATAATTGCAATTGAACTATGAAAAGGAAAAGACCCATGGTTGTGTGTGTGTGAAATCTGAAATACTTCTTCCTAGCTTTGTTAGTTGCAGAAGTAAAATCAAAATAAAACACTGAAAAATAAAAATAAGTGTCACTAACTGTGGTGCTGTATATGGGGTCTGTTCTATAGTAAGCAACTTCCTTGGATTTCATGGTCTTACCATCAGTTTATTAAAACTAAGTTATTTAGTTTTTTATCTCACTTCTAAGTAAGATAATATATACTGACTTGTATAAACTCCTAACTGTGATCTGACTTGGTTAAATCTTGGATAATAGATCTTTAAATAGAGTTGAAGTATGCCTAAATCAAATTCTGCACTTGCTAACAGATTCCTGGGAAATAATTGGAGACACATAACACATGATATAATATTCTAGAGGTGCTGAAAAAGTTCTAGCATTGTATTATTTTCTGTCATTCTCAGATGTTCTTTCTAGCTTGCTGAAATTCAGACCATAATAGCCAAGAATATTACCTTCATTTTTGGAAGTGTAAAGGCCCTACAAAAATAGGGTGTAAGTTAGTGTTTCTTAATTACTTTACTTCCTGATGTCACTGTCAGTGTGTCATACTGTTTCCTGATATTTGATATAGATTTGGTTCAATGAAAAGTGTTTTTGTATTGGGGGGGAGGAGGGGGTAGTAAATAAGGGTTTGAGTGGGTATGCTTAGGAAATTAAAGTCAATGAAATTGTGGTCTATACAGAGAAATGGAATCCTGGGGCTGTTTTTAAGAGATGCTGCAGCTGCCACTTCAGTGAGAAGCAGCATGCCTTCCTTCTATTTTAAAAAAGCAAACAACAAAATCAGTTTAATCAGTTTGTGATCTAGACTCAGAGGACAAGAATAACATCTGCTCTTGCTCCTGAAATTTGTTGCTATGTTTTTTGTATGAAGGGGTTTTTGTTTGTAGTATCTTGTCATTCTATCAGAGCCTGGAAGCTGGCATTTCTATTTGAAGTTGTGTTCAGGAAGGACTGTAAGTACATTTCAGGTTCATTTGATTTAAGAAGTTGTTCCTGCTCTGCTTCAAAAGATGGGGAAAAAAAAAGTCAGAAAAGCAGTGCAGCACAGATCTCTTCCTTGTGTTTGATCTTGCTCAAACTCCCGCTGGCTGAGTCAGCCCTAGTCCCTGTACTGTGTGGTTGAAGGCAGGAAGATGCAAAATGAACTCCTGGTACAATGGTCTCTGTGGTGGGAGCACTTACTGAGCACTTAGTTGCAGAAAATAGAGCGATTAAGGTGTGAGTTCATTATTTACAGCAGAAATATCACCTAAGTGAACTTTCTTGGACAAATTTTGTCTGCACAAGCACCAATTTGATTCAATTTTTTTTAATAGGGGATTTTTTTTTTAAAAAGCTCTACTATCTAGAGCACTTCTGAGCAGTTAAAGTAAATACATTAAAAAAATATAATACACAGATCCATGAACAGAGTTGTGTTTGTGAAACACTTTCACACTCACACATATTTATCAAGTCAATGATCTTCAAATTAAGGTGGATATATTTGAACTAAGTGAATTTAACCTGATTATTTTCCTTAAAAAGCCAAAGCTGGCACTTGCTGATAAGACTGCTGTATTAAATGGCTTGGTAAAAGTTGCTATATGCAGAACTACTTAATTGGATGTAACAAGCAAATATATAGCATCTTACTTACAAGAAGCTTCGGAAATGGGGGGGGGAGGTGCAGATAATATCCCCTTGTCACGAGGGAAGGGGTAGTGGAGAATGTTGTCTTTGTTCCTGCTGGAATCCTGCATGAGATGACTTGTAAGCAGTAAAATTCAGAAATGTGTGTTTTTTCTCCTTACGCAGCCACTGTCTTTTCTGGTAGGTTAGACCTGGGTTTCCTGGACCGTAATCTCAGTGCCCTGGAAACATCCTGCCTGTTTGTTCTTGTGTCTAGAGGAATAGCAGGTATTGCAGACTTACCCATCTTCAGGGGTGAGAGAGAGAAGCAGCTCCTGAAACTTTCTAGTACTTGTAGTAGGTAAAATTCAATGGCAGAGAGTTTTTGCAATAACTGCTATTCTTCTCTTTTTTTATATTGGCAGCTTAGTGTGCCCAAAACAAGCTTGCTTTTAAATCTAAAGAAAGAGAAAAGCTATTAACAGCGTACTGTTGTTTCTGCTTGGTGGATAGATTGCTTGGTTTCCAGTTAAAAGAGACTAGAGAGAGGAAGGTGAGCGCTAGGCTGGAGTCCTGCTCTGGGAGGGTTGATGAGGTTCTCGCATCTTGATAATGAGAAGAAAAGTAAAAAATAACTTGAACTAGTCATAAAGGTGAAAGCAGTTTTAGAAGGCAGTCTGAGGAAAAGAATTCTCTTTATTCTTTGCTTACAGTGGTGCTTGCGGTGGAAGTAGGACATATCAGATTGGTTATAGCACTTCCCAATGAGTAGTAGCCTTAGCACATCACTGTAGTAGTTACACCATTTCTATCTGTGTGTGTGTGTGAGCTGTTTCTTTCCTTTCATGTTAGTATTTTGAGTTCAGGAAGTGGTTTCTATTCTTGCAGGAGCAATGTACTGGTAGGTATCATTCAGTACAAACTGGTTCTTTCCCAAGAAGCATCTGCCTGTACTTCTGGACAAAAGTTACTCAACTAGGAAGTCACATGACCTCTGTTAGAGGGAAAACTGCTTTCTTCAACACTTCTGATTTTGTTCCGTTGACTGGGGTAAACAATAGATGTTTGCATGTTCCCATCTTTTATCTACTCTGTCAGGAATAGATTATAGAAATTGGTCCTTTTTATAGAGAGGAAAGGAAACCTCTTGGACCATGGCGAAAATGCAGTAGAATAAATAGGGCCCAGGACTTCATGGATCTTAAAATTGTTATCAGGATTCAGGGTGATAATGTGGTCTGTGAATGAGGCATTCCCCTGAAATTTACTGATTCAGAACTAGAGCATTGGCTTGAAAACATGTAAAATTTAGGCAAAATTATTGATGATTAAAGCATTAGATCTCAACTCTGTCTGAGTTTTTTGTTCATTATATATATCAAGATAGTTACAGAATTAGCTACTGAAGCCTGAGGATACAGAGCAGTTATCTGTATGTAGATTCTAATAGCATGTAGGCAATTGTTGAATGTATTTCTCCATGTTAGTGCTTGTGCGAGTTCAGATCTAAAATCCAGTGTAAAAATGTATCTTTGAAAGTAGCAGCTTTTCTCATGTTTTCCAAGGAAAAATTCTTTGTAAAAAGTCTGGAGAAGGGGGAGCAATCACAGCCTGTTTCATGATGTTTGCAGTTTCTAATTAGTTACTGGGAAAAACTGTTCTCTGAAGATTCTTGCATATGACAGCTTTGTGTTTCCCCAGTTACCGTCACTTAGATTCAGATGAGGCAAACAGATCTTGCTGCTCCGTTTTCTTAACTTTTATTTTTTTTCTGGAGGTATATTACAGTTCAATAGAAGGGCCGTTTATGTTGGAAAAGGTTTTCCTTCA